AAAGATGCTAAAGCTTAATGATCATGACTTCATAGAGATAAATAACACATGTCACAACATGACTGAACAGTTAGTCTCAATAAAAACTTCACTGAAAGAAATTCAAATATAATTTGTGAACACACAGCTTCATCAATCCCAAAAGAAAACTTATTAATGTCAGGATCCATTGGTCCTCAAAAAAAAAAGATATTCAAATGATCTAAGGTTTACGAGAATGTTGTGTATCTGCGTAATCATATTCATGAATGCACAGATCAAATCTAAAAATCGAATAGCAGAAAAGTTCCAGTCAAGAGAATCGAAACAGATCGGATCCAGATCGATGTGGCTGGGAGGGGACGAACCTTCTTACGGAGACCGGAAGTACCAGGTTTCTGGCCATCGATAGGGGAGGTTGAGACGTGGGAGACCTTGAAAACCATTATCCTTCTTTGAGGTGAAGAAGAAGAAGAAGAAAGATCAGATTTGGATTAGTTTCTTCTGGAGAGGTAGAGTGATGATATCTATATAGAAGAAGAGAGTATGATCGACGCAAAGATGTCTGTTAGGCTAAACCAGACAGTGACACGTGTGGCTCCTCGCTTTTTTTTTCACCTTTTGGCTCACAAGTGAAGTATTGAGTGATGAGGAACGTTTCTCTTGTTTTGACCTTTTTACTGTTTTCTAGAAAATCTCAGCCGATTGATATTTTGGATCTGACGGGCATTTACTTTTCTTTTTCTTACTTGCCTTAGAGCATACCAAATAGTGTAGATACTAGGATAAGACCTGCGCGAATATATATGTGATTAAAATATAAACATTTAGTATTGAAAAATTTTAAATTTACATATGATTCTTTTTATATGTATTTGAAATTTTAGAAATTTGAAATTTTTATATAATTATCTATATGTAGGATCAGAAACAATTGTAATTAGAACTGTAGATCAAAGCTTAGAATTTAATGGACTCAACTTCATATATTTTTTCACTTTTCAATGTTCGAATGATGTAAAATAAATGGAGTGTCACTGGGCTTGATTGGTAGAGTATTAGCAAGTTCTCTAATGCTTTCTTAAGAAACAGTTGGTAAAATATTTGCATTTAAAATATATAAGTATCAAAACTAATTTAATATAATTTATTTATTTGTCTAATAATATTAGAAAATTATAATTTTTACAATTTTTTAAAAAATAATTTTATAAAAAATTAAGTTAAATTTTAATTAAAAACAATATTTTAAGTTTTTCAAATACAAATAAAAAATTTTAAATTAATTATGGTCATTATTTAACATAACCACAATGATTTAAAAAATTAAATTTTTTAAAAAATTAACAAATTAAACATTAACTCAGTTTTATATCATGATTTAACAATTTAAAAACTAATTATGGTTATGAGAAATATACGTTCACGTGTCAATCCTATTTATCTTCAACTTTTTCTCTTGTTGTGTTTTGTTTTTATTTGGGTTATTACTCGATATAAATATTTATTTTGAAGTTTATTCTCATTTCCTTTGTTTTTTTTGACCTGGAATTTAGAAAATACTTAAGATTTAAAATCATTAAAGTGATACATATTTAGGTTAAGATATGCACTTTATGCACAATAAACATTTTATATTTTATATTTATTTTATATTTTTCTGCATATTATAAAATAATAAAATAATATATATATATATATATATATTAAATAACTAAGAAATCAGTTACTATTATGTAATAAATTGGCGTATGCATATAAATTTAACTATCACTCTTGTTTATTCGAAATTAGGGTAAATAAATCAAAATAATCAATCTTATATATTTTATATGATATATAATTAAATTTAAATGATATAAATATATTAATATAGCACACTTTTAGTATGGATATTTATTAAATGAAGTTTTTACTCATATGATTTTATGATTATTTGTATATTTGTGTAACAAAACTTTACACCAACGATTTGTTTTTTAATGTGAGATGTTTAGTAGTTTCAATAATTTATAATCATTTAAAAAAAACAAATGACATATTTAAAAATTAAAATATTAACTTTTCAATATATGTTCAATGCAAATATCAAAATATAAGTATGTATTTACATACGATGTATAGTTTAATTAAAACGATATGAATTATATATAAATTAAAATTAGTTCTTCATATGGTCTTATAATCATTATATTTTAATATAGAAAAAAATTAAAACCTTAATCCTAAATTTGTATGTGAGAATTTTAACAGTTTTAGTATTTTATACTCATTTTGAAAATTTCGAATACAACATACACAAAAAAAAAATCTAGATTTTTATTATATGATTAATGTAATTGTGTAATTTATTTTATTAATAAAGAAATAAATAAAATGAGAAAAAGTATACATATTGTTATCAAATCTTTATTATTTAAAATCATTAATTTTCATATATATTTTTTTAATCACATTAGGTAATTCCGTATGTTTTATTTAAGGAAAGCATGCGAAACAATAAATATTTGATATATGCGATCAACTATAGTATACGAAATATTGTATTGCTAGAGATTATAAATTTTAAACTATACATTATATCACATGCTCTAGAATTCTTGGGATTTTAAATAGAAGCCAAAGAGATATGCCACATAGGATAAGGGTTATTTTTAGTTATTACAAACTTAAGGTTACAACTTTTTAAATGATTCTCAATTAATATATAGGGGATTTTGATAATCGTATTCGTACGTGGATCCGCAGAATATTCTAACCTAGCCTTATAATTTTTTTTGTATATCACATGCTCTCTCTCTCTTCTCATCTTTCACAGAGACGAGATCAAGCATTCACCAATATTTATCAGCTTTTGACTCCCGATTTATCAAACTTTTATTTCTGAGAAACCTGCTAAAGGAGCAATGGCTTCCAGAAAAAAAAAGGAGTCGTGACCTTTTGTTTGAACAAACTTCCCCTTCTAACAACTCAGAACTAGGAGTGGGCACTTCAATTATTTTATCGGTTCAGCTTAAATTTAGTTCAGTTTGATTAATTTGATCCTAAATCTTTTCCAACCGAAGTAAACCATAAATAATTTGGTTTGGATCAGTTTTGGTTCGGTTTGTATTTAACTTGGTTTGTGTTTCGGTTCGGTTTAATCGGGTTTCTTTAGTTTAGTTTTTTTTTTAACATAAATCATGTTTTAAAATATAAATAGTGGTGACTATGCAAAATAAACTATGTAAACTAAATCTAATATAAAAACTAAGACAAAAATCTTTAAACATACAAAAAGTTTATAAGACCATTGAATCAAAGTTAACTAAAATAAATAGAAAAATTAGTTAATAATACCTATTAAAAGTAAACTATGTAAATTAAATTCAATATAAAACTAAAACAAAAATCTTAAAAATTTATAAAAACACAATCAAATCAAAGTTAACCAAAGTAAATTGAAAAAACTGGAACTCAACTTCGTTAATAAAGTTAATAGTGACTTTAGTTTTAGTATTTGAGTATATTGTATATTTCTAATATATTTAATTTAAATAATAATAAAACATATTCTTGGTTTGGTTTTAACTTTGTTTGGTTTGAATTGGTTTCGGTTTGGTTGGTTCGGATTGGGAAAATCTTAAATCAAACTATTTGATAGTAGACTTTGGTTTGGTTTGGATCGTTTTAACTCGGTTCAGTTTGGTTTGGATCGTTTTTGGTTGGGTTTAACTCGGTTTGGTTCAGTTTTTTTGTCCACCCTCAGAACCTTATCACTCTAACCTCTCACTAATTCTTCTGGTCAAGTTTCAAAACTTCTGACCTTTTCACTTTCTATTTCATTTTTAAATAAATTTGTTATAACCCTATTTGATTTCTTATCTCAAAAGAAGCAATAAACAGTATTGATTTTAAATTTGAAGATAGATTGTTCATCACATCTTCATTTCTTTTAAGATAAACCTTTTAAATTGTAGATTGGTACTTAAGTTTTATTTATTCTAATCTTTTTCCAAAATAAATTTTATGCGTTAATATTATCCAATTAATTTCAAAAATTTAACTATTATTATTATTTAATCAGATGTTCATATCGAAGAACATATGAATATTCATGTTTAAGAAATTTTAACTCGATTACAAAATCTAAGATAAATACGCTCATCTCTTAATTCTTAACATTTTTGTTCATCACTTATAGAAAAAATAAATAAATAAATATATATATATATATATAATGTTTTTGAAAAACTATGATATTTTGTGTTCTTTTATTCATGTTATGTAATAAATTTATTACATGATAATGTTTAGTTTATATTAAATTATAACTGTGTTGGATTATTGTTAAAACCAAATAATTATGTAAAATTAGTAAATATGAAAAAAATATAAGGTTCTATTAATAATTAATATTAAAATGAAGATGAAATATATTTATTTCTTTACAAGAAAGAAATGAAACAAACTTTTCGAGTGAATATTGCTTTATTTTTTTCTTCATTTTGATGAAAGTGAACTATTAATAAAAATGAAAGAGTCCATTGGAGATGCTCTTAAAAGCATAAAAGGCAGATTTTCAAATATTTTTATACAACCATAACGATAAGAAAAGACTTACGGTAACATCATGATTTTTAGTCTAAATGAAAATGTTTCAAAAAATTGATTTTGCTATATATGTCACCAAAATGTATTTACACTTTCCGTTACACATCCCTCCACTATTATAGGGAAACATGACTTTTGAGCCTTAAAAAAGTTAACTCAGCGTCTGTTGCATAGAGTGAGATCCACTAGTCGAGAGAGCAGACGTGAGAGATCCATTGATCATGAGTGGTCGGACGCTACAAATGGTATCAGCTGGTTATCCATCTCAGTTTTGACTTGTGTTACGCAACGAATAAAATATCATAAACTCCCATCTATAGTCTGCTAAACGTAATAGCCGTCTCAATAACAAAGAAAGTTACTCCTGAGGACGAGAAATATGGAAGATAATAATGACATTGCAACCACCAACAAGTCCTTAAATTGCGCCTAAATCGAAGTGATATTAATTTTTGCTTTCTTCACATTTTCGATAAATAAAAACTAATTTTGCAGAAACTCAAAAGAAAGAACTTGAAAGGGTGTACGTAGGCATATATATGCAAGAAACAAATCAAAAGTTCAAGACGAGAATTCAAAAGACAAATGTTTCAAACTTTCAATACAAGAAACAAATCATTCTTTCAAAACGTGAAAGCATAGAACAAAAACACACAAAACCAATAATCTTGAGCATTCAAGGTAACATTAGACGATAAAATCTAATTACATTGACTTTAAGACTGAAAGATTTGTTAATCCAAGCCCTAAAGCTTCCTTTTCTAGCTCCATTAATGGGAAAACTCGATCTTCCACTGTCTTCCTCCACCTTCTTCTTATCCTCCTCTGACTTCTCACACAGCATGAAGTTCCTCGCTCCCAACGACCCAATTGCTTCCCATGGACTCAGAGCTGCACAAACAATTTTTTTAAAGAAAAATAAAGAACTCAACATTATAATAAAATAAGGATACATAAATGGATGAGATTAATCTCACCATCAGGTCCAACCATGGGACAATAGAAAATAAAATCGTTGAAGTCGGATCCGAGAATGGGAAGCCGACCTTCTCGAGCATAACATTTAAGAGCAGTGTCGATCACAGCAGCAACCAGATCTCCTTCGTTAGCCACAAACCGGATCGGACCGGGGCTACCAAGAAACGTAACGCTGATCAAGATTCTGTTTCCCTTAACCACCTCTCTTTTCTTAAGCTTGTACAACAACATCTTTCTAAAGTAATTATAAAAAAATCGCTAGAAAAATATATAGATGTCAAACGGGAAGGGGAATTTCACGGGTCGATGCCAAGGCAACGGTAGTACCAGCCTTCTTTGCAAGATCCGAACGCGAAAACAGATTCTGAAGACAGAGGGACGAAGAAGCTAGCCCTTTGGATTGAAAGGGAGAGCCTAGAGTTATCGCAGATCGGATTAGGCTCCACCATTCACAATATACTTCACCGAATAAAAAAGATTTTAACCTAGAAATTAAAGAATAGAGAGATGGAGACAGAAGCAGCTAAGAAAAGAGATTTAGGTATTCGTCGATCGCAACGAGAAGCGGGAATCTGAAAAGAGGAGCCGAGGAGGAAGAAGAAGAGGAAAATTGAATTTGTGAACCTTGGTGATAAGAAAGGTATGTATATAAATTAAGAGATAACTGTTATGTTTTGTTGTCGCTTCGGTTTTTTTTGGAGTCCATTCGTTATCTTTCTTTTTCTTAAACGCGTGATCATGTATATTTTAAGACAAAACCTAGATAAGCATCTTCTGTGCATACTTTTGCATGCAGACGCGTAATATACGTACGTGACAGTTGACAAATTTCTGGATGAAGGTGTTAATTAAAAATAATTTGAAATTTGAAACCATTGATAAGACAATTTTCAAATGATTTATTGGAAGACATAACTAAACTGATAATATAAAAGTAAAATGATATATATTATTCGATTAGTGACTGGTCTAGTATCACAACTTACACTAGTCTTGAGTCTTGACCGTTTCCGTATTAATTCATTAGCAGTGGGAAGAACCAACATGAAGCTCTAAAAAAAAACAAATATATTGTTGTTTAATTTTTATAATTTTTATTTTTATTTTTTAATTCATTCAATCAACAAAAATTTGACATTTGGGTTTGAATACCTCATCACCAAGAAAAAGTCTCTCTGCAGAGAGATATCTCTACCTTCTCTCTTCTATTTTTTCATTCTCTCTCTCCATTTTTTAAATTGGTGAGAAATTCCAAAATAATACCACTGCTGCTGTTCTAAGGGAATTTGTTCTTAATATATTAAGTTACCCTCACATATTAATTAGGGGTGGTGTATCAACTAGAATTATTTGGATCTTTGTAATCTCACAACCATTGACAACATGTTTGTAGTAGACTCGTAGTCATATAGAGCAGGAGGGATATTTCTCAATTCTCATGATCTAAACCCTCAATTTTTTTGTCTGTTATGTATACTGACTTAAGTGGGATTCTTATTCTCAGTCAGAACACTGTTTTGATAAAGAATTCTTGTGGGGCTTTGAAGCCATGAAGATAGCGTGAATACCACCAATCGACTAAACTAGCACATGTCTTACCTTAAGAAAGTGTTGGTCTGGGACCATGAAAATGCAAAAGAGAAGTTGGTATCTTTTAGATTTATGTAAATAAGATTACTTTCTATCTAAAAAAAAAAGAGATTACTTTCTATCTGTACAAAAATACTATTTATTTAAATGTTACGGCAAAAAAGAAACCTATTGTGGACTACTATAAAAACAAGATCCGTAGCATATAAATATCCTCCAGAAGATGCTTGCGAAGACAGAGGTTAAAGAAAAAGTCATAGAACTTTGAGGCCACAAACATAACTTGCTCCTAAACTGTTCCTCCGCAATTCATTCTCTTTAAAGAATCCAAGTAGAGAAGGCTCTGTCAGAGAAGACATGGAGGATCTTATGGGACTTCTTCGAATCCGAGTGAAAAGAGGGGCTAATCTTGTTAGTCGAGATTCTCAGAGCAGCGACCCTTTCGTCGTCATAACCATGGGTCCCCAGGTACATACACACGCTCTTTTTCTCTGTTTATCACAGTCAGGAATTCTGAAATTGTCCTGAACCAAGCTGGATAAAACATTAGTTTTGCCATCTCCCAAAATTAAATAATTATTATACAGAGGTAGTATATCTCTCAGATTGTTGTAAAGAAATTACTAAGAACATTAAATAGTTTATGGCTCCATAAATCTCATATCCAGTCTGGGTCGGATCTGAGAATTTACGGCCCGGAAAAGTTTATTTTTTTATTAAGAATCCTAGCAAATTAATTTTTTTATATAATTTAAAGGTTTATGTTTTTATAAATTTTGGTACCAAGTTCATTGTTTTATCGGGTTGTGCCCAGATTTTGCCATGTATCTGGTCATGCATCTTCTGATATTAAGTAGTTATAGATTTTATGGAATCGTCAGTTATATTAAACACATAATATACTAGATGCAATAGGAATGTATAGTTTTTTGGTTAAGAATAATTAAGCTATTATCCCTAAATATAAGAGTGACACTTGTTATAATGAAAGGAAACGTAGAGGATGTAAGAAATATCTTTTTAATTTTAATAATATTGATTATTACTAATAAATTATATATTTGTAATTGACGAAAACAAATGTAAATGAAATATTGACCAGCCAAGTAATCATATCTTAGAATTATGGTTTTTATACATGATTATTTTAGTAAATCAAATTAGTAGTGTCTTTATTTACTAGTTTTTTTCATTAACCACTTAAATAATTTTTAGTTAAAAAACAATGTTTCCTGCAAATGCATTTGTGGATAAATCCCTTGTAACGACCATAAAAAAAACCTTCACTTATATACAATTGTTTGCAATTCCTCCACTTCAAACACATTTCTCTAAAATCTATACTATCTGCTTCACACATTTATTGTCCTTGAACCATTTTCGTATCTATAAAAAATACTCCCTCCGTTCCTAAAAGATCCATGTTCTGGAAAAATATTTTGTTTCAAAAAGATGTATATTCTATGTTTTCTATGAGAAAATTACAAGTTTCAAAAATATTAATTGGTTTTATTAGATTACTATTGGCTAAAAGTTGTTGAAAATTGGAAATTGCTGAAAAAGATAGTGATTTAATGTGTTTTCTTAATATGTGTGAAAACACTAGAAAATCTATCTTTTAGGAACAGAGGGAGTATTCAGTAAGAATTCAAACTGATGGTTGTAAATGTATCAGGAACTAGCAAAAAAATCATAATTGCAACAAAAATACATTTGAATTACTTCCAGTGCTCAATATTTTATCTAATATTTTAATAACCAAAATTCATGTGTTTATCACAGTAATGCCAATTCAATGATAGCTAAGTAAAACAAAAGGTATTTAATTATTATTTTATATATATTACGGTTTTCATATAAGCTATATGGTTTTCAATCTTCTATAGAATATTCATAAATATACTTTAAAGTAGAAGATGACGCTGTAAAACAATTATTAATAACTTGTTCGATTATAGTTTTACACTTAGTCTATGCATGCAAGATACTCTGTATCAAACAAATGAATCAAAGCATAAGTGTATAAAATTTATATATATATATATATATACATATATATATATATATATATTAGCAGATTTTGGTTACATACATATAACTTAATATCATGGTAAATTACCTGAGCCCACAAGTAGTATGAATAGAAATAAAAGTTTAGCTATTAATTGCATAAGTTCTTTATACTTAGCAATTAGTTTAGCGAAAGAAATAAAATCTAAAGGGAACAAATAGAACTACTGATATTATAATTAACTTGTAACATTAGTATGAGAAGATATAATTTATAGTAAACATTAGTACAATTTTAATCGGTATAAAATCAACATATATTGTTTATTAATGTGGAACGATGAACAATAAAAGTATGTGGAACAAAATATATATTTTTAGAGTATATATGTGATCATTAACATTTGTGTGATTATTCTCCTCATAGATTTTGTACCATAGACTGTATAAAATCATAAAAGACAATGAGTTCGACATTCACGGACGTGAATGTATTTTTTAGTAAACATTTCATATATTTTAAAATGTTTATTATAATATAACAAAGTTTTACATTAGTAAATAAAAAATACTTGCACATCTGTGTATGTTGAACCCAGTGTCTTTTTACGATTTCATGCAGTCTATGGTACAATATATATTAGGAGCATAATCACACAAATGTTAATTATCACATATATGTTCACTAAAAGTTGGATTTTTTTCCACATATTTTTATTTCATCGTTCCACATTATTAAATGATATACATGTTGATTTTATACCAATCAAAATTATCATATGTTTACTATAAAATTGGTCTTCTCATTTTAATGTTAAAATTTAATTTTAATACAAGTAACTCTATTTGTTTCCTTTAGATTATATTTCTTTCTCCAAATTATCTTCTAAGTATGAAGAATTTTATGCAGTTAATCGCTAAGTTTTTCTTTCTGTTCATAGTACTTATGGGATCATGTAATTTTCATGATATTAAGTTATATGTATGTAACCAAATCTGCTACTATATATATATATGTATGTGTGTGTGTGTGTGTGTGTTATACACTTATATTGTTATTCTTTTGTTTGATACAAAGTATCTTGCATGCATAGACTATGTGTAAAAGTTTAATTGAATGAGTTATTAATAACTGTTATTACAGCATCATCACCTACTTTAAAATATAAATTTATGAGTATTCAATAGAAGATTAAAAACCCATAGCTTACATAAAAATTGTAATATATAAAATAATTGTAAATTGACCACTTTTTGTTCTACTTAGCTAACATTGAACCGACATGACTGTGATGAACACATAAATTTTGGTTAATTAAAAAAATTTTAATAAAATATTAAGCACTGAAATTAATTAAAATACATTTATTATAATTATGAAGTTTTTTCGTAGTTTCTGATAAATTTACGGCCATCAATTTGAATTCTTACTGAATATTTTATAAGTATGAAAATTGGTTTAGAGACAACAAATGTGCAAATTAAATAGCATAGATTTTAAGGCAATTTGTTTGGAGTTTTGGAATAGCAAACAAGTGTGGATAAGTGAAGATTTTTCTTATGGTAGTTGCAAGTGATTTATCCGCAAATGCTCTTGAAAGAAACCTTACTTTTGAATTAAAAGTTTTTTTTTGAATTAAAAGTTAAAAGTTATTAAATAAAGGTAGATTATTAAAAGTTTACATGATTCTTTTTTTTTTTGAATTAAAATTTATTAAATAAAGACATTATTAATTTGATTTAATAAAAGAATCATGTAGTAACACTATAATTCTAAGATATGATTACTTGACTTGATCAATATTTCATATATATATATATAATGCTCGGACACATGCGGGCATAATTTTCGTAAAATTTACTATTAATCTATATTTTATTAATTCAAACCAATATAATAAGTTATGATTTATGTTTTAAAATCAATTATAAATGACAACACTCACATAATATTTTTAAAAATATATTGTTACAAATGTGTTGCTTTAATTTATTTTAATTATATTTTTTTCTATCTTAATTTTTTATTTCTATAATAAAAAATATATTTTCAAGATAACTATATGATACATAAGAAGTATCTTATTTTCTCAAAATATAATTTTTAATAGAAATTCATTTTTATTTTATAATAAATTTTATATGCCATTATTAAAAATATGAAAATAATCAAAATTATCTAAATCATGGATAAATTACAAAACAAATAATTCATTTAAATTTTCTAATAGAAAATATATGTTCAAAATAATAATCTGATACATAAGAATTATCTTATTTTTTTAAATCTAGTATTATTAGTATACCTTTGTTTTATTATTTAAAAAATTATATATAAAATTATTAAAATATGATAAATAAGTAAAATATAAACCATGGAGAAGTTGATAAATCAATATTGCTTTCTTTATATTTAACTATTAATATTTTAACTTAATTTTTAATTTATGTGATAAAAAATATATTTTAAAGATAACAATAATACATAAGAATTATTTTAGTTTCTAAAAGTATAATATTATTAATAGAAATTTGTTTTATTATATGATAAATTATTCATAAAATTATTAAAAATATAACAAATAAGCAAAATTACAAAAATCATGGAAAAAGTTACAAATCAATCAGTAAATTCACTTGAATTTTATAATAGAAAATATATTTTTATGATAACAATTTAATACAAAATAATTAACATATTTTCTAAAATATAATATTATTAATATAAATTCGTTTTTATTAAATAATAAATTGTATATGAAATTATTTAAATAAGGTAAATAAACAAATTTACCTAAAATCAAGTAGAAATTGACAACTAAGCAAATTTAATTCTTATATAATAGTATAGATATATTTGTTCTGGTCAATTACAAATATATAATTGATTAGTAATAACCATTACAATTAATTAAAACAAACAAATATGTTTTACATCCTTTTGATTTCCTTTCATTATTATAAGTGTGTCACTCTTTTATTTAGGATTAATAACTTAACTAGATTTTGACCCGCGCAACCGCGCGGGTGTTTGTATTCGTTTATAGTTAGTTATATAAACATTTTGTTTTCACTTGTAAATTGGTATATATTAAGTAATTCACATATTTACGATATGTATAGTAAATTTTTTTCAAAAATAATAATATTATATAATAAGTGTTTTAATCAAATAGATTGTTTCAAATTTTTCGAACATGTGTTTGTTTCTTCTTCTATATTTTATTGTTTGTTAGATTAGTGTATCATTTTTAGATAAAGTAATATAAATAGAGCTTTATTAAATATTAGTATAGTTTAATTTTCAAAGATAATATAAACTTCGAAGAATTTTTTGCTAAAAACTAAACTTATAGTTTCATAAATTATTATTGAAGAATTTTATGAAAAAGAATCTTTTAAACAATTTCTTTTTTTAAAACAATATAATTTTTCAAATTTACATCGAAATAAATTAATCTAATATATATAGTATGTAAATTTTGTTAGGGTATATAAATATTTCATATTACTAATCTGTGATTTTTGTTAATATATTATGGATGCATTTAACTATTATTGACATATTTCTTTATAAATAATAGAAGATTCCTAAACTTATATCTATTGACATATTTTACGTGACTAAATTGGAAGGTGTGGGGGTAATTTACCAAAACCAAATTGTTAAGTGTATCTTTGTTATTATATATATGATTTTTCATAAGATATAACAATGATAATATTATTAGAGAATTAATGTAACATAACTTTCTAGTAATAGTCTATTTTTAAAAAAATCACACATGAAGTCAAGTCATGACTTCTGTTTTAATATATAAGATTATTATTAATCAAAAAACTAATCATTTGCTTTGTGAATCTGGCTCAGACACTGAAGACTAGTCGTGTGGAAAATAACTGTAACCCTGAGTGGAACGACGAACTGACGCTTGCGTTCAATGATCATAATCAACCTGTGATTCTCGTAAGTTACGTTTTCATCGTGTTAAAAATATGCTTTGTTAGTTTCTGAATGGTTTCTTTTGTAATCCCCTTACAGGAAGTTTATGATAAAGATACATTCACTTCCCATGACAGGATGGGAGATGCGGAAATAGATATTAGGCCGTTTCTTGATATTCAAGCAATGGGTCTTCAAGAACTCCCTGATGGAACCGAGGTCAAGAGAGTGAAGCCGAGTAAAGACAATTGCCTCGCTGAAGAGAGCAGGATCGCGTTCAGTAATGGAAAGATCGTCCAAGACATGATTCTCAAGCTGAGAAATGTCGAAAGAGGTGAGGTTGAGATTCAAATCGAGTGGATCAGTGTTCCATAGAGTCGAGGACTTTGAAATAAAACATTAAAAAACAGCTGTGTGAATTGAATTGTACGCACACAGGAAGAGTGCAATTCTACGTACTCCTCGGACATTAGGCTCTTTGGACATTAATGATTAAAAGAACTGAAACAGAGTTTCAGGGTGAACCACATTCTAATCAATCTTCTTGCTTCTGAGTTACATGTTTAGTTATCATCAAGAAGCTCTTGAACGCTTTCATCATATCTCCTTCTATTATCTTGAACGTTATCTGATTCCTCTCCCGCTTCGATCCTCTTCTTTGGCACAATATTTTTTGCCTGTCCATCTACACCCAAATTGTAGTGGTGTTTCCAATCTAGGGTTGGTCCTGAGATTTTAGAAGTGGCAGACGATTTAATAAAGATTCCAACAAAAAAATATTTTACAAATTTGAGAACATATGCTTATTTAATTTTTCTCAAAAAATTTAGGGATTATAGACTAATGTTTTATTTGGCTTTGTTAGGACCAGTCTTGTGTAAATAATGAAAATCTTCTATAATCTTGTAGAGATAATATAGATATGACTTTTTGGGTTGAACCATTGGCGTCAACCCAGAAGATTATATTACCAACTTCAAGTCCCCCAACCAGATGTGACACGCCTGATTGTCTGCATCTCCCATTTGTTTCTCTAAAAGATTATACTATTAGGTGGGTCAATTATGGAAGTAGAAGGAGGGTGGGCGATTTCCTTAGCTCCATTTCTAGAGGGTCCCTTGAAATTTAAGTAGGAAAAAGGATTGTTAGCTATAGATATCTCCGTTTGACAAAAATAGAACTATAGATCATATCTTCTAACCACAAAATAAAACAGCTTTACGAAGTTACAAAACTATTGGTCATCACATTGTTCACTGCACGTGTAACCTGAAAGTTGTGAACAAACGAAGCAATTTGAAGAAAGTAAGAAAGGCAAATACAATTTTAGGTTTGTATGTTGATCGTGTAAATGAATACTTCACAACTCTTTTAGCTCGTAATTTTGATATTTTACTGGTGCACAAAAATTTAAGTCAATTCCACACCAATACAGACAAGAAGAAATTAATGCATAGACAAGATAAAAAGATATGTTGCAAAAATTTGCGCAAAGTTTACCCGTGGTTTCAGTCTAAGTGCAAATGAGATAACTTCACCACTTATCAGTGATCACCTATGATTTCTCCATTGCTTCCCCCTTCATCCTTTGTGTAGACTTGACTTTTCTTTTATTGGAGTTACATTTTCAGACTAAACATTGTTCATCACTTCGACGGCCATATATTACAACGGACTTGATCCTTTGGCTACGTACAAATACATTTGATGATTTAGTGGTTAGGTTTTGCTACCGATTGATAATCCCCCAGCATACAAACACAGCGTATTGTATAGGCCAAATATATATAACATTAACCAAAAATTGATAATAGTTCTGGATTCATGCCTAACTGTATAATAAGTATAATTTTTATTTTATTTTATCACACAACATACATGATAGGAAAAGCACATACGCACATACACGTTACACACTTGTAACTTGATTAAAACTTAACATTACGTACAATAACTCCACATAATACAGAAATATATATATATATATATATATATATATATACATGCATCTATACATACATGCATGCACCGGAGCATCATATATAGGGTTTTAAACAAGCAGAATAAACTCTTCGTTCTACTCAGTAGATAGTAGGTGTTCATCGATCTCTTTGGACATTGACTCCAAGAATGGAAGTAGAGTCTCAGGATGAGCTACCTTGTCATGAATCCTCTCATACTCCATGTGCCACCTTGCTACACTTCCAGATCCTCCTTGCTTTGGTGTTACCTATTGAGAGATTTCAAAATATCGTCTCAGAATAAAAAACAAAAAAAAAACTCGATCGAAATATCAAGGAATAATAAAATTTATTAAATATCTATAGTATTACTTGGAGTGTTAACAAGAAAGTCTTGTACTCCTTCATCACATCTCCCTCTAGGACCCTGAACTTTATCAGATTTTTCTCCGGATCCACCGCTTCGATCCTATCCTTTGCTACTTTTGGCTTTCCTTCTGCACCCAAAACTCGTTCACAAATGAAATGTTAAATGTTTTTCATTATCAAAGCAGCATCCACTGTGCTTGGTATGCAATAGTAAATGAGTGTTTTCGTGCATTCATACTAATATTTGTATCTTCGTGAAGAATTATCTTTACATATAAAGCATGTTAGTCATTACCATGAATGTAGTTCCACAAGACTATGCTTCCAACTTTGTCCCACTCTCCCTCGTGCAGCTCAACTCCCCCAATGTGGCCAGGCGTGACATTGGACACGTGGTGTGGTCTTTTAGCGAACATATGGTGGAACTTCTCCGCAGAAGCTTTGATATCAACATCTACCCAAAGCTCTCCAACCATACTATCAGCCAGTGCCTCTGGCTTAGTTGCCGCCTTTGTCTCTTGCTCATTTGCAGCCTTTGTCCCTAGCTCAGTAGCAGCCTTTGTTTCTGGCTCAGCAACAGCCTTTGTCTCTGGCTCAGTAGCAGCCTTTATCTCTTGCTTAGTTTCTACCTCTGCCATTTTTCTTTGAAGGATTTGTTTCTCTAAGTTGTTTCTCGATGGTGTGAATGAAGAATGCATTACAATCCGTATACCTCTTTTTATAGAGAGGAAAAAGTGAGCATGTAATAGAAGTAGTTGTATTTTGCTTTCGCAGTGATTACTTCATTGTCCCCTTGAATTTAACTAGTTAGCTATACAATGATACCTTATCTCATCCCAATAATAGGCTCAATGCATCATTAAAGACTCAACTACTCTCTCAACAATATTCAATTATTATCTGATCAAGCGCATGATTCACATTGGTAAAACTGAAAAACGTTATAGCGACATTTAACAAAAAAGCACTAAAAGTAGTTGGTAACAATAAGTCAATGATAAAGTTATTTTTTCGTCGGCAATTCTTTTTTGGTAACACAACTGATTTGAGGATCTGTTTCTACTACTCCGACCATCCCACTAATTAGGATTAAGTTTCTGTGAATCTCGTGAGTTACTTCTTCATCGTGTTTAAAATATGTTTTGTTAGTTTCTGAATATTTTCTTTTGTACAGGAAGTTTATGATAAAGATACATTTACTTCCCACAAAAAAACATACACCAAAAAAACTCTCTCAGACACTAGTTTCGAGAAGATCTATTATCCTTCAGACCAAGAGTGAACTTTCTAAGTTACTGACTTTTATCTGAAAGTCTCTGCTAAGAATATTCGAATTCCTTTCTACTTCTGGAAATATCCTTCGGTCCAACCAACGTCTTGAAGAAACATTCGCCGGGTTCTCCCCCGACGATGGTCGGAGGGTCCGTCACCACCGCCAATCCAGTCTCGGAATCCTTTGTGAAGAAGACATCCAGTAGCAATCTCCTTTGCAACTTCACAAGGGAGTTTGCTCGTTTCTAACTGAGTCTCAGACAGTCTCTCTCTGTTTTCAAGATAGCTTACTGGGGAATCCTGGTACTATTTTAGTAACAATCTTTCGAGATAGACAAGGCCTAACAGAGAGATCGACAACCTCCTTTCGTTTTCTTCAAGCAACTGTGTTCTCAGGGGACTCCCTATTCTAGTTAACAAGTTCTAATATCAGCATCAGAGCTTCTACTGCTTCAAGAACATGGCGCACAGAAGACTTTCTTCGGCTGAAAAAGGCAAAGGAATGGATCTAGAGTCCCAACGGCCAACTCGTCTGGCGAGGGTGAAGGCACCACTACCAGACAATTCAGATCTCATTGGCAAACACTCCCTTACGCTCATTGGGAGAGTGACGAACAAAACAACTCAGAAGGTCTGGTCCCTAATACCTTTCTTTACTGAACACTGGAAAACAGAATTCAAGCCAGTGGGCTCAGACCTGGGAAATGGGATATTCCAATTCCTATTTGAGCAGGAGTCAGATTTACTTTCAGTTCTTGAACAGCGCCCTTACCACTATGCAAGGTGGTTAATCATTCTGCAACGTTGGGAACCGACAATCTCCCCCACGTTTCCCTCTTTGATTCCATTCTGGATTAAGGTTCAAGGCCTCCCGGTCCACCTGTGGACGGAACCGATTGTTGAAAGTATTGGAAGGGACATTGGTCTCTTTGAGAAAGCTGAGATTACTGCACTAACAGTAAGAATGCGAGTACATGTCAACGGTCTGCTCCCGTTGATCACGAAATCAGTGGTTGAGTTCCCCAATGGGGAGGAAGTGACAGCATCCTTAGTATATGAGAGGCTGGTGATAAACACTGCACAAAGTGTCTGCGCTTGGATCATGAACTAAAGGAATGTTTGGTAGCCAGAGCAGAAGCGAAAGAGGCAAAGGCCAGGCTTGATGAAGCTATCCAAACATCAGACTCAATGAGAGGCTTCTCTAAAACCTCTGCTGGAGCTGATCAGAATGCAGGACACAAGGAAACTAGAGGCCAATCAGGTTTCCAATGTTCGGCATCTCCCAGGGAACATGAATGCAGGGAAAGATCAAATAAGGAATCCAGGGACTCTCATCACCAACGCACCTACAAACCAATGTCAAAGGCCTGGCAAGAGAAGAACTCTTATCGACGACCTCAACAACCGTATGGAAGATCACGACATGAATATGACAGAGCTTCTCGCCCTACTAGAAGTGACTCTCATCACAGAAACCTCCCACCTCCACCCAACCGAGGTTACTACAGAGCAGTCCAGAATTCATCTAATGAACCTAGGGATATGGGATCCAGTGTTTCTAGGCCTCACCTAGAGAAGAGTATTGAGGGGATTCCCTCACATCAAGCTAATAAGGAACACAACATGCGTGACCCCTGTGCCTCAAACCAAGCAAAGGAGAGAAACGTGAATCTTCAAATCACCATAAGTCCACCCCTCCAAGGAGGAGATCCCAGGGCTGCGGAGATAGTAAATGTACCGAACTATGATTCACCACCACAGCGCATCCCTGCTACTCAACGGTTAGGACCATGCTCAGACTTAAAATCGAAATCAAGCTCGCAGGAAAGAACCTCTGCTAAACTTAGACTTGGGGATAAATCAAGTTCCCCTCCCACTGGCATAAGACTACCAGCTTTACTACGTTTGGGGGATAACTCAAACTCCCCTTCCAACATCGCCAGAATCCCTGCAACGCAACGACTGGAAGTACCTCCAGCCATCAACTCTCTTGCAGAAGCAGCAGAACCACCACAAGTCAAAAGAAAACCGGGACGTCCCCCTGGAACTAAAAAAGCACAAGTACAAAAAAGTTCTTCCTTCTCGAAAGATGGGACTGCTAAACGAAGGAAGGTGCTCTCTTCAAAACCAGCGAGCTGTAAGAGGAAAACTCTTACCGAGGATTCTCGGAAGGGACTCAGGAAGACGAACGGAGATACATCCAGACCGGTAGCCTCCTCGGGCACTCATTCTTCCGACAATATCCCTCTCAGTAGAATGATACCAAAGGCGAACAGGAGAAAGACGGGTTTTCGCATCCCGTCCGATCCAATTCCTTAGCAATAGCAAGCTGGAACTGTCAGGGGTTGGGGAATCCCCGGACAGTTCGACGTCTCAAGGAAATCGTAAAGATTCACCGTCCTGACATCTTCTTCCTTATTGAGACCAAAAATCCCAATGACGTGGTTCTGCAAAAATGTGATCAACTCCGATATGATGAACACCACCTTGTTCCTCCGACAGGACATGGAGCCGGAGGCTTGGCTCTTTTCTGGTCTCAGAATGTCACACTCTCTGTTTTGTATTCAGACGCAAACATTGTAGAAACAAGGATCGAATATCAAGGAAAAATTTTCTATGCTACTTTTGTTTATGGCAATACAGATAGAAAGCAGCGCAAATTACAGTGGGATCATCTCTTACTTTCAGCTGAGATTCGTAACGCCCCTTGGTTTTTAACCGGAGACTTAAACGATCTACTTAAGAGCGATGAAAAGGTAGGCGGCCCAGATAGAGCGGAAGGATCCTTCTCTGACCTTAGATCCTTCTTTGCGGAAGGGGACCTTTACGACCTTCACCATTCCGGAGACCCACTATCTTGGAGGGGTCAGAGGGGGGATCATTTAGTAAGATGTAGACTTGATCGGGCTGTTGCAAATAGTTTATGGGCAGAACTATATCCGACAGCAAGATCGCAGTACCTTGATTACGAGGGATCAGATCATAAACCGCTCCTATCCTTCCTTGATCCTACTAGCTCGAGGAAAAAGGGTTTATTCCGGTATGATCGTCGCCTCAACTCAAATGAGGAGGCAAAACAAGTTATCAGGGATTCCTGGTCCAACTCTCAGGAGAGTAACGTCCTAGAAAGATTAGCGGTAACCAGAAGTGCAATTGCAACCTGGAATAAACTTCAACAGCGGAACAGTAAGGAACTCATAGAGCAGAAGAAATATGAGCTAGAAAAAGCCCTCACCAGCCCTGCAAATGATACAGCGTTAATCAAAGAAATTAATGAAGCGCTCAATAACGCTTATGTGGCGGAGGAAGCGTTTTGGAAACAACGCAGTCGCCTGATGTGGCTTCAGTTGGGTGACAGAAACTCGGGCTTCTTCCACGCAACAACTAAAAACAGGCGCAGGGCGAACACTTTCACTGTAATTGAAGACGCGGAAGGAAATATGGTTTACAAAGAAGATGATATAGAGGCGACAGTGGTGCACTACTTTGAGCAAATGTTCAAGTCGACACAGAGACATAGCACCGATGTAGTGTTTGAGGCGCTCCATCCTATCATCTCTAGCGAGGATAATAATAGCTTGATAGCGATCCCCACGGCCGAAGAAATAAAGGAGGCTATCTTTGCAGTGAATGGGGAGAAAGCGCCGGGACCGGACGGTTTCTCCGCAAGCTTTTATCATACGCATTGGACGGAAATTGGGGCTGACATTGTCGAAGAAGTACAGCAGGCGTTCAGAACTGGAAGACTCCCACAGAATATAAACGCCACACACGTCTGCCTTATCCCGAAAATAAAGAGTCCCCAACGGGTTTCAGATTATCGCCCGATTGCACTTTGTAATGTTTATTACAAGGTCTACTCAAAGATCCTGCAAAAAAGACTGCAACCGTTGCTTGGAAAGCTTATCTCGGAGAATCAGTCGGCCTTTGTTCCGGGACGCGCCATTGGGGATAACATCCTTATTACTCATGAAGTGCTGCATACTTTGAAAACGTCTAAAGCAGAGAAGAGAGTGGCAATGGCGGTAAAGACGGACATGAGCAAAGCTTATGACCGGCTCGAATGGGATTTCATCTCTTCAGTGCTTGAGAGACTCGGTTTTCACCATCTTTGGATTGGTTTAATCATGCAGTGCATCTCTACTGTTACATACTCCTTCCTCATCAACGGTTCGCCTAGAGGAATGGTTTCACCGACTCGTGGGATCCGCCAAGGCGATCCCCTCTCACCCTACATATTCATCCTATGTAGTGAGGTACTATCGGGACTTTGTAACAAAGCACAAGTGGAAGGACATATGCGTGGTCTTCAGGTTGCTCGGGGGAGTCCCCGTCTAAACCACCTTTATTTGCGGAT